AGAAACGCCAAAGAGTCACATCTAATAGAAATATATAAAAGCCTTTATTTTAATTGTGTAGCAGTCAGTTTATAATTATGGCAGCACTGTTGAGCATTTTGAAAATATATTTTCATGCCTCTGTGCAAGGCTTACGGCCCGTCTACACTACAGGCATCAAAAAATCTTGAAGGGGCGTGTCTGAAGCTTGGCGATTTTTTGCGAGCAACGCGACCAACAACCAATCACTTGAATCTCCCGCCCCCGACATACAAAGCAATAGCAATGTTACAACGAAGTAAACTGGATATAAACTCTCCAAAAAGGCGGAAAACTACCAGTTTCACCCACTGTCTCTGCCACCTCCCTCCATGCCTGGTTCCTCCGGTTTGTATCCCGGTAAATAGTTCTGGTCGTAAAGAACCGGGTGATTTGCTACCGTAATATCTCGTTTGGAATATGAGGAAATGAACTGCGGTCTGGCTCTCCCAGCTTGCACGCGGTTTGATTAGCTGCGTTTGCACTGGCGGGATTTGCATAAACGGGATTTGATTGGCTGATGCCAAGCATCGAGCCTCAAAAGTTGAACATTGTTCAACTTTTGATGCCGATAGATGCTCGTGATGCTTGCAAAGCCATGCAATGCTCCCCACAATGCAGTTCGGCGAAGATTAAAAATCTTCTACGTCACCCCATTCAAGTGAATGGGCGAAGCGTTGAAAGCATTTTTCGATGCCTGTAGTGTAGACGGGCCGTAAGCGTTCTTGTAGAGAGAGGTTGTGTTGCAGCAACACCATGGCTGCCTTGTTTACACCAGGGAGAAGCTAATAGCACCACATACTGTCAATCCTGCACTGCAAGACTTTAACCTGCATTCACATCTGCACACTTATGTAAATATATTTAACAAGTTCATTCAAATGCTCAACGTTCTACTGTGATATCTTCTTTCAACAGTTACTTTATCACTTTATTTAAAAAACACCTTGTGTGAATCCTGTTTTTTAACTCTGACCTTGTTGCTGCTATAAACGCCTGAATCTCCCCAAGGGGATAAATAAAGTTCCATCTTATCTTGTCTTAAAGCCGTCCAGAATAGCGGTCGTAACATAAATAAATACAGATAAACCGAAAGGACAAAGGAGGAGAGCTGGGTCCAGATTTATGGAGAAAAGGAAATGTAAGCCCCTCTCATCCTGGGCTATAACATCACTGGCTAATAATGGACGAGCCAATGGTGTTAGCTATGAGTCAGACAGAATACCAGGAGTTTAATGTGCTTTACTAAAATGTGGCAGGACCAGAAAATATCTGACAAGAAAGTTTCCATCAATGCATCCGGACAGTTTGGGTCAATAAGGATTGCATCGAGAGCTTCAAAACAATCAACACTTACAAAAAAAACATACAATTGCTTTGACAAGAATGCATGCTCTTACTGTTTCAGCTTCTTGAATATATTCAATACAGATAAATGTATTACGAATTCTACAATGAATTATTTTTCATGTCTTACAAACACTTGGACATTCAAATACACACCATGTCTTCATGACACCTATCTATCAATTACGTTTTGTTATTGGAGAGTCCATTTAAAAGTCAACATTCATACCGTTTTTGACTTGAGACCGGCGGTTCCTTTCTCTTTTTAAATGTGCGTTTTGTCAACCCCGCCCAACAGTGGATTATTGGAAGGATTGGAAGCCATTTTAAATTGAACTAATTCCACTCCTGTCTTGTTGTTCTTTAGATCCGTCTCTACGCTCGACCCGATGCCATTTCCAGCGGCTCCGGCGACTACGCTCTGCACATCACCAAGAGGCTTCTGGGATTCTACCAGGACTACTTCAAAGTTCAGTACTCCCTGCCCAAGCTAGGTAAGGCTGTTTCCTTATTTCCTTTGACGCTAACTGGTTCCTGTTCTCGGGATATGTCACTTCCTGTCAGTGTTAGAAAAACATCACTGGTCACCGGCTTGAGCTTGAATCTCAGGATCCATGTATCTGTGATCCTCTCCAGAATGGAAGTAGTCATCACATACAGAGCATCAACTAGTTCCTGAACAGTGTCCTTCACATGCTGATATCCAAGAGAGGGAGTTACACAGTCACAAGATGGAGGAATAGAAAGCAGTATTCAATGTTTACTTCAGATTAGCTCCACGTCAGAAATGATCATGCTTGTCATATGTCTCTCTCCATAGAGGCTGAATCATCATGTTAATCACACAGCTATCATATGCCTCAAACAGTCCTGATGCTCTTCTAGGTAATCACACATCCTGTCATGTTCACAGCTGCAGTTGATACCTTTGATATCATGTTACTCTCAGATTGGAAGAGGACATTCAGTATGTTCCCAACAGTTCATTCAGTACGTAGCCGTGGAATAAGCAGGAAAATGTGCACAGTAAACACAAAACTTTCAGTTGTATGATTACAGAAGCTGCTTCCTGTTGACACAGATCACACCTTATTGTTTGAAGTTATTTTTAAAAACCCCTGAAGGTATTGTTTGAGTCACTGCTTCCAATTGCAAGTTATTGTTGGACGAGAATAACCAGGTTATGAAACTCATTTTCTGTTTCAAAGTGTCTCCCTTCGCTCAGCAGCTGTTCAGACATGCAGCGAATGTGGCAACAGCTGGTGTGTGTGTGTGTGTGTGTGTGTGTGTGTGTGTGTGTGTGTGTGTGTGTGTGTGTGTGTGTGTGTGTGTGTGTGTGTGTGTGTGTGTGTGTGTGTGTGTGTGTTTGAGAGTGTGTGTGTCTGTGTTTGAGAG